TAGGACTTTGTTTTTCCTTTGGCCGTACTATTAAGGGGGGTATGGACGGGTAGCTTGACCTAGGTGAGTCTAGTGGGTTAGGTGTGGTGCACACTTGCTAAAACTAGCACTAGGTAGCTCCTAAAAAGCCCTTAGATCCATTGGAGCAATCTTCATTTACATATGATTGAGAGTTGGAAGTGAATGGAGGGTCAAATACTGACTGAACGCTGGTTTCGGTGTGACCAGACACTGGCGCATAGTCTGGTCAGTTCATTTGATCAAGGTGAATTCGTCTGGTGCGACCGGATGCTGAGAGGTGAGCGACCGGACGCTGGGTGCTAGCATCCGGTCGACTCCAGTAAGGTTCCAGAGAGGGAAAATCGTGACCGGACGCATCCGGTCAGTGCTGACCGGACGCTGTCTAGTGTCCGGTCACAACTTGATCACTGGATGTTGGGGTGAACTGACCGGAGCATCCAGTCAACATGACCGGAGCGTCCGGTCATCCCACAGAGGCATATAACGGTTCGTTTTTCAACCGGGTTTATAAATACTTCCTCCATTCGTGTGAAGGGGTACTTTTGCTCATTCCAACAGCTGAGAAACACATTTGAGAGTGCCAAGAAGAGCAAGGTCCTAGTGAGGTAATTGAGATTTGAGAATCCCAAAGAGAGCCCTTATTAGTGAAAGCAAGAGTAGCAAAGTGTGCATCCACCCTTCTCATTAGGCTTGTCGTGGTCAAGTGAGAGTTCGTGCTTGTTACTCTTGGTGATCACCATCACCTAGACGGCTTGGTGGTGATTGGGAGCTTGGTGATCATCCGGTGGAGCTTGTGGATGACCCAACTCAAGTTGTGAGCGGTTGTGGGTGATTCACCGTGACGGAGTGTCGAAGAATCAACCCATAGAGAGCACTTGATCCTTGCGCGGATCAAGGGGGAGCTACACCCTTGTGCGGGTGCTCCAACGAGAACTAGTGGGGAGTGGCGACTCTTCGATACCTCAGCAAAACATCGCCGCGTTCCTTTCCCTCTCTTTACTTTGAGCATTTACATTTGAGGCCATCTTTAAGGCCATCTATTCACTCAAGCAACCTTAGATGCATCACCTGCGGTGCGTGGTCCTCTGTCCTCCTTTGCTTATTCTCATCATATACTGTACGCACGTTTCATGCATATATATCTGCATTGCATCGATCGCGTTTCTTATTTTCTCATAGTAAGTAATTGATAAAATCAGTATGCATGCATGCATGTGATTTTTATATCCTATATGGTGTGTCTACGTGACATGTAGGATATCCTTATTGCCTATTGTGGATTGTTGAATAAGGTTGTAAGGGCCATGTACAAAATGGCTATTTGTCATTTGCTGTGATAACTGATAACCATGTTAAAAATAATCTTAGTTATAACAGGATCGTCTTATCTTTCCCCAAACATGACCACTAACATAACTTAGTGTGGAAATTCATCTCATTCCATATATGCCTATGTAGACATAGTAGAGTTGATGTAGGTGAAGTAGAAGTACTATCTTGATAAAGAACTTGATGTAGATGTAGATCAGCAGTCTCCTAGCCTCTTGGAACATGAGTCGTGCTTCCAAACCTCTTGCAGTGTCTAATTGATCGGTTAGATGGGTTTAGGTGTCAAGGGAAAAGACTCGATGGGGACATGATTCTCGATCTTCCGTTAGGTGAAGATAACGATTATCGATTTGGTTGGAAAGCGACACACCGATCCGGCTTTAGATCAAAAGACCCGACCCCCCCTGCAACCTTAGCACCACGTCTCATCTAGTTATCAAGCGTGTCACAATCCGGTTGACCTCGCTGAGAAGGCTAATCCATGCTATGAATCAAAGACACAAGCAAGAACAAGATAAAACACAACTCAAGTAAAGTGACAATTGCAGATAAATGATAAAGCGCTCGAATTTGGGGTCTCACAAACCGATAACGGTGACTATTCAAAGATAGATTGGTCTAAAGCAAAACTCAAACTCTAACTTAGACTATGTCTACTGAATATATAGTCTAAGGGGCTGTCAAGGACCCCTATTCACATCCCTAAGAAGTCCTGACACGTTATAGGGCCTAAATGGCCCAAAAGACGGCGACGCAGCACCCTAACGGATTTTGGGTGTTCACTTGTTTCAATGATTCTTGTTGATTCGAGGAATTTTAATGTGGGACTAGCGCCATTAGTTAGCTTATAAAATCATCTTTCCATCATCCATAGGTAGAACGTCAAAAACAGAGTCCGTATGTGACTTAGGCATCTGTTTTAGTGTGGGCTGCTCCTGGAGTCTGAGATGGACTCGAACTTGATGCGGATTGAGCCTCCAACTTGGCTTGGACGACTCGAACTTGATGTGGATTGGGCCTCCAACTTGGCTTGGACGCTCTTGCTGGCCTCCTAAGGAGGTGGGCAAGTGGGAGGACGTCCAAGGGCTTCTTTGATGTGTTCTTCATTTCTAGGCATGTCATGACTTGGGCCCAAGGTCTCAAAGGTGAATAACAAGCCCACAACAACGTCATAGTACCCGATAGAAACAACGACAACTTATCATGATGATTTGAAGACCTTGTCGACATGATATTGAGGTGAGATTAGATCCATTTGAAAGCTTATCAAATAAGGCTCCCATTAAGTACTCATGGACCTTGATGGTGTTTTCCACTTGCTAGTGTCACTGTTGATCCCCGTGGCAATGGTTATGGCAGATTTGGAGGAGGGGCCACGCCGGCTGGAGGAGGGATCCGCTCCGGCTAGATCTGGGTGGAGGGAGGCGCCGCCAATTGGATCTAGGTGGAAAGAGGCGCGCCAGTTGATCTTGCACGGGGAGTCGCCATCGTCTTTGGGGGAGTTGTAGCGAAGGGGAAGGGAGAGGAGAGGCGGTCGGAGACCCGAATAGGAGAGGCGCTCGGAGACCCGAACATGAGAGGATGCGCGATGAGACGGGCGTGAGAGATCGAGGTACGCTAGAGTTAACCATTTTTTCGGGTTCATGGTATTTACGTCTGTGATGTAGATTCAGTTCACGCGTATGTGAGTAACTATTTATGCTACGGACGTGTTTTGTAATCCGCGTCTGTAATATATGTCCATAGAAGATTTCTTTTCTAGAGATAACATATTAGAGACGCGTTTCAGTAAGACGCGTTTATACACATTAAAGACACGTTTTGTTTCTGCGTCACTAAATTAGGTGTCTTCTTTTTGCAAGTTTGGCACAGTGGGTACTGGTTGATGGTTTCGTCCAAAGCACAACTGCTAATAAAAAAGCAGCAGCGTGCACATTTTGCTTGCAAACTCAAACAAACGGCCGGCGCCAAAGGCCAAACGCCAAGCGCCAGCTCAGCCCAGCCCACAGCCTATAGTTGATCTCGATGCAAACATACAAGAACCCTACTGGTGCTACTGCATGCATGGTGATGGTAGCTTGGCAGTTGGCGGCATACACAGAAACCGCACATGCATGCCCTGGTTGTACGAACGTGTGTACCAGAAAACTGAGATTAAGCAGGGTGTAGGAGGAGACACAAATAATGGCTTGAGTGAGAAAGAAGATGAATGGCTAATTCCCACCTCCAAAATTTAGTCTATGTCACATCGGATATTTAAACACTAATTTGTAATATTAAATATAGACTAACTAAAAAACTAATCGCACAGATTTAGACTAATTTACGAGATGAATCTATTAAACCTAATTATGCTATAATTTGACAATGTTATGCTACAATAACATGTGTTAGCCATGAATTAATTAAGTTTAATGGATTCATCTCGCTAATTAGTCTACTTCTATTTAATTAGTTTTATAATTAACTCGTACTTATCATTCGACGTGACGCGAGCTAAATCCGAACAATAACGATCAACAACGGGGAGCCGCCAGCAGCTGGCCAGTGACCGCCGACCACTAACCAGTCAGCCGTGTCGCGAGTGGCGACAGCGAGATATTTTATATTACCTCTCTGCGCTGCTGACCCAGTGACCCCATGCGAGATGGCACTCCTGCTGTCCATATCGACCATATCTACTATCGTAGCATTGCATTGTAGTACTCCTACTGTCCTACAAAACATGCATGGTGTCGCGAGTGGCGACAGCGAGATATTTTATATTACCTCTCTGCGCTGCTGACCCAGTGACCCCATGCGAGATGGCACTCCTGCTGTCCATATCGACCATATCTACTATCGTAGCATTGCATTGTAGTACTCCTACTGTCCTACAAAACATGCATGGTGTCGCGAGTGGCGACAGCGAGATATTTTATATTACCTCTCTGCGCTGCTGACCCAGTGACCCCATGCGAGATGGCACTCCTGCTGTCCATATCGACCATATCTACTATCGTAGCATTGCATTGTAGTACTCCTACTGTCCTACAAAACATGCATGGTACAGTGTTTCCCCTAGAAGCAAGAGCAACAGCAGTGTTGGTGATAGGAAATGGAAGGCTCCACCGGCGGGGTTCGGATCGTGTCCAGGCGTCTCGTCCGGCCAGAGCAGGCCGCGGGCTGACGACAGCGCGCCGTCGGAGCCGGAGACCATCCACTTGACACCGTGGGATCTCCGCATGATCACGGTGGACTACATCCAGAAGGGACTGCTCCTGCCCAAGCCACGGACAGCAGGAGGAGGAGCATAGCTCGTGGACAACCTCGCTTCGTCCTTGGCGCGCGCCCTGGCCCGCTTCTACCCGCTGGCCCGCCGCCTCGCCGTCACCGCCACGGGTGATGCCACTGGAGATCCGAGCATCGTCGTCTCGCTCCGCTGCAACGGCGAAGGCGCCAAGTTCGTCCGCGCCGAGGCGCCGGGGGTCACCGTCAGCGACATTATCGCGTCCGGCCCCGGCTATTACATCCCTAGCTCGGTGGTGTGGTCGTTCTTCCCGCTGAACGGCCTGCTTGGCACGGACGCCGCCTTGGACGACGACGACGGCTCCCGCCTCGCCGTGCTAGCGGCTCAGGTCACCGAGCTCGCCGACGGCGTCTTCGTCGCCATGTCGCTCAACCACGCCGTCGCCGACGGGACCACGCTCTGGCACCTGTTCAACACCTGGTCGGAGATCAGCCGGACGAGGGACGGCTGTGAGCTTTCCACACCGCGGCCGGTGCTGGACAGGTGGTTCCTCGAGACCAGCCCGGTGCCCATCGCTCTGCCCTTCGGCAAGCTGGAGGACATCGTCCGGCGGCCCGTGTACCTGCCGGTGCGGGAGTGTTTCTTCCACTTCTCAGCCGAGAGTGTGAAGAAGCTAAAGGAGAAAGCGAACGCCGAGATGGCCGGCACGGCGACGGCGACGGCCACGGTGTCGTTTCTGCAGTCCCTGCTCGCGCACCTGTGGCGAACGTCGTGTCGGGCCCGGGAGCTCGCGCCGGACCGGGAGACCACGTACACCCTCCTCGTCGGGTGCCGGGCACGGATGAAGGGGATTCCACAAGAGTACATGGGCAATGCCGTGACGACCGCCGTCGCCAGGTCGACGGCCGGCGACGTGGTGAGCAAGGGGCTGGGGTGGGCGGCGTGGCTCCTGAACCGCGCCGTGGCGGCGTTCGACGAGGCGAGCGTGAGGGACGACCTCGCGTCGTGGCCTCGGGATCCCAGGTTCCTCTACGTGCCGCAGCCTACCAGGGAGGAGGACCCCGCGACGGTCATCACCGGGAGCTCGCCGCGGTTCGACGTCTACGGCAACGACTTCGGCTGGGGCCGGCCGGTGGCCGTCCGCAGTGGCGCAGGGAACAAGATGGACAGGAAGGTGACCGTGTACGAGGGGCGCGACGGCGGGGGAAGCATGGCGCTGGAGGTGTGTCTGGCGCCCAAGGCGCTCGCCAGGCTCGTTGCCGACGAGGAGTTCATGGAGGCGGTGAGCGCCGCAGTGGCGTGATCCAAAGGTGTACGCACTCCGCCGCGCCGTTGGTAGCTGTGGCCTGTGGCTGTGCTGAGAGCCACGTGTACCATTGAGCTAGGTTGTAATCTTGAAAGATTAATTTCTTCCTCTCGTTTTTTCATTTGATTTGATGAACAAGGCATGCATGAACGAGATCCATCCACGTAGCAGATTCTGTTGCGACGCAACAAGTATTGAGTGACCGGTGACGTATAAGTGCAAGGTTCCGCCGATGCATCCGCGACGGTGCATGGGTGGCCACCATGGCATGGCAGAAGGCTGTCACTCCTGTCACGACATGTACTCCCTCCGTCCAAAAAGTGTGATTCTTGTTTTTTGAGAGGTCAAATTTTTTTTTGTCATAAATCTATGAACAGATATTACTCGCTCCGAGTAAAATGAATGTGATTCTCAATTTAATATTGTCTAAGACCGCCGTGTTCGAATTCTGACGTTTGTTATGTAAGACTATTAGACTAATGCCCAAGATATGTAACCATTAACTCTGTAAACGTGTTTTCCCCGTTATCAATAAAAAGAAGTTTTTTTATCAATCTTGTTCAATTTATGTATATCAGCAGCTACTGATTTAAGGAGTTATACGTGATGCACAATGGACCGAGAGGCCCGACACCAGTGCTGTCTTTGAGGACTCTCTGTCCGAGGGTGCAGAGGTGCCAGACCATGGCAGCTCGCATCTTCTTATTGCATTTTTTTTTACGATGAGGAGGAGGGGCGTACCCCTACTGGTGATTTTTATTAAAAATAAATAAAGACAAGTAATAGATGGCTAAGTAAGAGAGAAAGAAAGGGCATCTTCTTCTTGCATTGCCCTGCTCTTTGGCTCTTTGCAAAGCTCCTCAAGTAGAAGCAAGGAGCATGTCTCAAGGAAAAGCCCTTTAAATGCAGTGGCCAATGTTGGTACCACACATGCATCGAAGATCATGGTGTCATTGGCCTTCTTGTCACTGACACCGAAGATGTCGTGACCGGCTAGTCCCTGTGCGCTTGGTCGATCCATTACACTAGATCCAAGGGCGGTGACACTGCAGCAGTGGATTTCAATGCCATCGGAGAGGATTGCGGGCGCGTGGGCGTGGGCGGTAGTTGAAGCGGGAGGAGAAATACCTCGCATTGCCATCAAACCAAAACAGAAAAGAAAGAAAGGAAGGAGTGTAAACAAGTCACATTGGTAAGGTGGTAGATTGCTTGAGACCTCCTTGATACATATGTTTTCTTCCATAAAAAACACTCCTCGAGGAGCTCTATGGCACTACCAAATACACGAATTTGACCACTAGATTCGTGGAAAATAAGTTTCTACTACGTTGATTTAGGGTCTTTGGGATCCTTAATTACTATATGGAGCTGAATTTGGTGGAGCCTAGTAGTTCCAAAGAGGCGGAATAGTGAAATTGATAGCTCATCTTTCGTCTCATGTTCAGTTTAGTCCTTCAACGCTCAAAATGGCCAGACATTCCCTTAACTTTCGATTTTGGTTCAATTTCGTCCTTATGCTGATGTAGCGCTCCACGTTGTTAGTTCCAGTCAGCAAAGCCTAGTGGTGACCATAGCTTTGGCTAGCCTAGCAGCCATGCATACAATGCATTAAAACTAATTTCACATGAAATTGCATTGGTTCTAGCCATGAAAGGGACATTAAAGAAGTTATTCAAATTTTCATTGGATCAATAGAATACTCCCTCCCCAAAATAAATGTCCCTATAATATTCGTGCCAGTCCAACTTTCTTAAGTTTGATTAGATTTATAGAAAATATTAGTAATATTTGTATCTCCAAACAAGTTTATTATGAAAATAGATTCAAAGCTATCTAATGATACTAATTATGTAGGTACTATATATATTAATATTTTATTGTATATATTTGGTTAAAATTAAAATTGTTTGACTCTCTCGCAAGCAAGAACGACACTTATTTTTAGGACGGAGGGAGTATGTTCTTTCTTTTGTCGCTACATCCTCCGTGCTCAATCCTCGTTTCATCTGCAATGCGTGTCCGAGCATAATGTTGTTCAAACCAAAATGCAATGAACTTGAGTGTGAAAGTACGGAGTAATTCTACCTACACTAGCAATGCCAACTGCCAACACTCACCTATTTATCAAAGCCGACACCAGCACATTTTCTCACTAGGGCTGCCACCGTGGAGTGCCACATCAGCACAAGGACGAGTTTGGACAAAAAATTAAAGATAAGAGACTGCTTTAGCCAATTTGAAAGTTGAGGGATTAAATTGAGCCTGAGATGAAAGATGAGGGACTAATTTGACTATTCCGCCTTTCAAAGAACCGACAGTACATATAAAGAAAAAAGTATAAATTGACCCATCAAGCTAAGAACATGTTGGCAATATTACATTTATTATCACTAGGCAATTAGGCAAATGATCACATTCATCATAATACTAATTATTATTTGTTGTCTCTGATGTTAAAATGTAACAGCTTTGTCTGCTTCCTCTTCTCTTTTTTTGGAGGATGAAGTGCCATCATACTTTCCATTATCTAAATCGACTTATTAATTATTGCCAGTGACGGTGCGGGTCTCTTTATATATGTACTAGTAGAAAATATCTTTCAAAAGTCCAGAAAATTTGTATAGTTCAACAGATTTTATGATGAATAACGCATCAAGCATAGAGGCGTATAGTAAATTTTTACAAGAGCACAAGGGTCTCTTTATATATGTACTAGTAGAAAATATCTTTCAAAAGTCCAGAAAATTTGTATAGTTCAACAGATTTTTATGATGTGCACTTACATTGTGACAGAACCACGAGACATCCCAGGATAAGCATCACAGCGACTATAGTCGCCATTCTTCCCTCCATCGTCACAGCAATCATGGTGTATATACGGTGGAGTTTCTGTGTGTAGGTATGCGTGTGTCCTACAGCAATCACAATGTTCTATATATAGATGGTGAAGATATTCTATATGTTAGCAATAATTAATAACTCCTAGGCTTGTGATTAATAATCCTCCAAAGTTACAACAAAATAGTTCGCATTAATTTCGATGCAGATCGATATCTCTAGTGGAATATAGATGACTACATCTAGTAGATGCTATGAGTTTAGTCCTGATCAATTTTACGGTGATATCCATTTCGATGACTACCATATTTTATTTCCAATTCCATGGCTAATAATGGCATTCTATCTATATCGACTAAATGACAACCACAATACCAAGTAACATCTCCTACAACTAAAAAGACTAAAAGTAAGACTATTTTTTTGTGCGGCTTTTTTTTGGGTCGCTCCTACCTTCCGGCCATGCGATATCCCGCGCGATAAAAAAAGAAACTGCCATCCCTGCGATCTCCGCCTGCTTTGAAGGAAATAAATCGATCACCTGAGGCCACATGCATAGAAGGAAACAATAATCATGCATGGAAGGAAACAATTGGCAAAGATTAAGCAAGACTCCTCTCTTCCAGCCATACGATACCCCGCGCGATAGAAAAAGAAACTGCCATCCCTGCGATCTCCGCCTGCTTTGAAGGAAACAAATCGATCACCTGAAGCCACATGCATGGAAGGAAACAATAATCATGCATGGAAGGAAACAATTGGCAAAGATCAAGCAAGACGACTCAATGAAGTTGGCCCTTAATTTTAGTATTTCCAGCATGCAGACTTGAAATTAAAAAGTGGCTGCTACTTGAGAACATCAGTGGTGCCAAATAAAAGATGTGCAGGTTATACATGGTGAGACTGGTGAACCTTCTGCAATTTTATAAACGAATATTCCCACCATTCGTATATAGGTCCATTCTCCTGCGTTTCTTCGTGCTCCAATTAGCATATAATATGAAAGTATTGTTGTGTTCATCGCGACTTCATGTTGACTATTCCTATTAGCATATACTATAGTAGCCATTCTTCCCTCCATCACAGCAATCACAGTGTATGGTGGAGCTTCTGTGTGAGGAATGTATGTATGTCCGACAAACACACACATCCTGCACAATGTTCTATTTATAGATGGTGAAAACATTATATATTTTAGCAATAATTAATAACTCCTAGGCTTGTGACTAATCCTCCAAAATTTCAAAATATATAGCATTAATTTGGACGAAGATATATCTAATGGAATGAGAATGACTACATCGAGTACATGCTACGAGTTCAGTCCTGATCAATTTTACTGTGATGTCCATTGATGGCTACCATATTTTATTTCCAATTCCAAGGATAATAATGGCATTCTACTTTGCATATATCACCAAAAGATAATAACAAGGTGTTTTATTTATAATGGTAGCTACATTTACCAAGTAACATACCTTATTTATAATGGTAGCTACATTCACCAAAAGATAATAACAAGGTGTTTTATTTATAATGGTAGCTTCCGGACGTTCGGATGGACGCCCGCGTCCGGATGGACGCGCCGGCTCCGTTCCGTCCACGCGTGGATTCGCACATTCCGTTTCCTACGCCGCCTGCCCACACGCGGGGACCGCCCGTGCTTGCTCTGTTCCTTACGTGCACGTGGGGACACCTGTGACCACTCTATTTCCCACGTGCATGCGGGACCTCCCATGCCTGCTCTGTTTCGTGCGCGTACGCGGGGATCCACATGCCCCGATGTGCGTCGCGTGACTCCGACCGTCCCATCCAAGAGTATAGGCTTTAAACATAAAATACTTGCAACATACGTCTAAAACAGTTGAAACATTTGAAACATACACTTGCAACATCTATATGAACCATATGCAACATCTAGATAAAGCACTTGCAACATATGTTTGAAAACAACTGAAACATTTGTAACAGACACTTGTAACATACGTGTATAGTCATTGCAACATATGCAACATCCAGATCTACTTTTGTAGCATCTATATGAAACACTTACAACATACATGTATAGCCATTGCAACATATACAACATCAGGATCTACTTTTGCAACATCCATATGAAACACTTGCAACGACATACGTGCATAGCCATTGCAACATATGCAACATCCGGATGCACTTTTGCAATATCTATATGAAACACTTGCAACATATCTCTGAACCATAACACCTAAAACATATGTTTGCAACATGCGCTTTCAGCGCACATCTTTTGGCCTGGGCGAATCCAGGCGGGCGGTGCGGCGAACTAGCGCGGTGGAGGTGGCCGTGGTAGGCGGATTGAGCCCACAATGGTCAGGGATGAGTCTGGGCGGGCAGGCAACATGGTGGAGGCAGCCACGGTGAGTGGATGGAGACGGTCGTGGCGGGCGGGATGAATCTAGGCAGGCGAGGGTGGGCGACGCGGGTGGGACGAGCCCCTCGAGGAGCTGTGGCAACACGGACCATGCGAAGGATGGTGGTAGGAGCCAAGCTATGAAGGTTGCCAGCAGTGAGGCCGAGAGCACTAGGAAATGGCCGGATGGGTGCTCGCGTAGGATCTATCGCATGGTTATCAAGGTGATAAGGCGAGGCATGGAGAATGACTACCGCCTACGCTTAAGAGAGTATGGCATAAGGCAAGACGACTCCTTACCAACTAAAGGAAAATTTAAAACAGCAGCTCAGAGCAGTATATAGATGATAAAGAAAAAAAAAAAGGAGGAGAAGTAGGAAGTGGTCTGGCCCTGCCCATGTGCACCAAGCAGCCCATGTGCCCCTCACCCTCGTAGCCCTAGCGTGTCTTCATCTTTCTCATGCACCGCACCGCCACCGCAACTCTATTTTGACTTCCGCCTCCGCCCATCTCTCTATCTCTTCCCTCCCATTCCGCCTCCACCTCCGCCCACCTCTCTCTCGATGGAGGAAGAGGAACAGAGGAGGCAGGATGCTATAGGCCAGCACCGCTTGGGGGAAGATGGTCGTGGCATGTAGACAACCTCTCCTTGCCGTGGGCCCGCACAAGCGGGCGCACGGCTCGATGGCGGTCGGTCGACAACTTCTCCCGTCAGCGCGAGCGAGCTACAACTTCTGGTTCCCCTCCCGCTCACTGCTGTGGAATCTCCTGCGTGCCCGCTCTCTCCCTCTCGCTCTCCCGCTCACTGGTGTGGAATCTAAGGCGAGTTGTCTGCGTGGCGTCGTGTGTGCAACGCCTTGGCGCTTAAGCGATGCCTCAATGACACTGATCTATCGATGACGGGGGTGGGTACCACAGCTGCTGGTAGTGAAGAGGGGAACAGAGAAGGAGATAGAGGTTAGGAGTGCCACAGGACACAAGCGAATGGATAAGACTTTGTGAGGGAAGGTGAGCGGTGGGCTGCTTTAATGAGATGTTGGCCTACGTCCGATGCATCCATACGTCAGGTAAGTAGCATTATCGTTTAAATAACTTTTTTTGCGATTACACAGTACAACGTAGACACTCATAAGCACACACACGCACCCCTATGAACGCATGCACGCAAACCCTACCCCTTCGATGTCTGGACCGGAAAATCCTTAAGATTGATGAAGTTACCATAAACGTCTCGCTATCGATGGGATCATCTATCATTGAAAGCATAACACCGTTAAATCATAGAATATTTACTTCCATAGGCAGTCGAAACCAGGATATAGGTGCTACTTAGGTCCTGTTTGGCGGGACTCCTCACCAGCTCGGCTCTGGCTCCTCCGGAGGAGCCCTGCCAAACATTTTTCTATGGAAGCCATTTTCAGCAAAAGCAGAGGAGCCGGAGTTATTTTGGAGGAGCTACAAATTGTGGCTCCTCCAAAACGACTCTGGCTCTCATCGGGAGGAGCCGTGCCAAACATCCCCTAAGACTCTTGTAATCACTAGGCTTGTAGCCCTTTATGCGATAATCTTCGTGTAAGTTGGAGTATAAGCAAAATTAATAGATACAACCGAAGAGCATTTTTTTTATAACTCGAAGAGCATTATTGCACGGCGGTTAATCAAAGTAACCTTTGCAAAGCGTTTTGGATCCATCGGTGCATAATAATGTGGAGCAAGAGCACGTATCACTAATTCACTATTACTTCAGGAGGGAATCGCAGTGCCCGTCGAACACTATCCGGCCTGCAGATTTCAGCCGCACTGGGCTGATCCGTGGGCTAAATCCTTTAAGAGAAAGCCCATCAGGCCCATCAACCAGGTCGTTCTACAAACAGTGGCCAGTGGGTGGGTTCGTTCTGTCGAGGCCTCTCTATTCCGATCCGTCTTCGCCGGCCGGCGTCACCACCATGGCCGCCGCCACCACCACCTACTTGGCCGCAGCCGTCTCGTCGTCGCGTGCACCTCCCCTCCTCCAACCCACCTCCAACGCCACCTTCGTTTCCTTCCCGCGGCGGCTGCTCCCCGCCACCACCCTCGCCCTCTCCGCCCCCTCCCAGCTGTCGCTAGTGCCGGCGGCCAACCCCAAGTACCACAACGCGAAGGTGGACGCGGGCGACGAGGACGTGGACGGGGAGGAGATCCTGCGGCGGTTCAACTGGCAGGTGTCCCGTGCGGGCGTCATGGAGGAGATCAGGCGGCGGCGGAGGCACGAGGACGCGCGGGACAAGCGCAAGCGCAAGGCGCGGTCGGCGGCGCGGAGGTTCCGCCGGAGGTGCGTTCTTCATCGATATGTTTTGTCGATTCGTGCGTATAGGATGAATGATGTGGTCTCTCATCCTGTGTTATTTGTCTTACAATTTTCTTTTTCTCGATCAGGCGTTGTGCCTGTATTATTTGTCTTACAATTTTACTAGGTGCTACAGTAAATGATATGATTACTGATTTGATGACCTTTGAGCTTAGTTTTAGACTAAACTGCTAGAGTTAGTGACTGATTTAATGTACATGTCCTATGTGCAAGTTGTTTTACATTAAGCACTACATTAGGATGCTATGTGATCGAATATCTGACAGCAATAGTTTGATTGCCAAATTCATAAACATTGCATGCCAAGTTGCCAACCATTTTACTGCTGACATTCATGATCCTGAAGGTGGGACAGCTAGTTCTACAGACATTAGCATCCCAGCACCGATCATTTTCTGAATGGAAATAGCTGCGCATGTGAAATGGTCCATTCATGATCCAGTTTTTGTCTGTGGTATTTATGCTGTTTTGTGTACCATCATCATCATATCTTGCACTGGTATAATTCTTGTTCAGGTTTTGAAAAGTGAGGTGTTATTCTTCATCATGAATACATGAGTGCACATCCCCTGACATGTTCAACTGCAAGGAAATGGCTAATCAAATACCCATTGTTTGCAACATTCAGCAAGCTTTATGCTGAATTTTGCAAAAATATAGCATCAAGGGCATCTCCCCTTTCTGAAGTCATGTTTGTTTTTCCATTCCAAAGTTTCAGGAAGTTTTATGCTGAATTTTGCAAAACTAGCATCAAGGGCATCTCCCCTTTCTGAAGACATGTTTGTTTTTTGGCCATTCCAAAGTTTCAGCAAGCTTTATGCTGAATTTAGCAAAATCTGACATCAAGGAGTTCTCCCATTTCTGAAAGAGAGAATTGTTTTTGGTCATTCCAAAGTTCATCCACTTCATTTGAGTTATAGCAACAATATAAGAAACTCCTGACTCCTTCTAACTGAGCCCAGTCACTCTGCTGCAGGCGATTCAAGGGCCCATACCCTTTCAGTGATGATCAGGGGGCGAAGGAGCAGGCCTCTGATGATGAGGGGAATGACAACTGGGAGCTCCCTGCAGGAGAGTTGCCTTACAGGTAGAGATAGTTGAGAAATTGAAGCATGATTTTGTCTGCACTGCAGAAGAGTTTCAACACCCCCAGCTTCAGTTCTTCCTGTAGTCAGGAAATTGAGTAGGTGTTGCCAAACCAATTCTAGGCGATTGGCGGCCAAAGCACGGTATACTGATGTAAAGCTTTGTTCTGATTGTGTTATGTCTCAGAGAGCAGCAGACCCTCCTGACTGTGCTGCAAATACTTGATCTTTCTGTATCTAGTTCTTGTGGATGGTTGTACAATGGCTGGTGGTGGTGTCACAAGAATTCTGATGCTAACTTTTCTGGTGGGGCAAAGATGAATTCTGATGCAGTAGACACTTGATTCGGTGATCTAGTACTCATTCAGAAAAAATGTTCTTTTGCGGCTGCAAAATTGCCATGCCGGTCTTAGCCCAATCATGTTGCAAATTCAGTTTTGAATACGTTACAATGAGGAATTATTGAACATGTGCCAGAAGTGACCAAAAACGACGTGAAGACAACGATATGAGGATGGAGATTTCTGGCGAAGGAGAAGAGCGAGGAAAGCTCGTGTCACTGCCACCCTGCCCTGTCTACTTTCTTGGGAACGTGTGTGTCGGACCTCGGCACGACTCCAGGTTATTATTTTGGAGGGGAGGAAACAAAAGTACCTCAAAATGAAAAACATAACAAACGTCCCAAAGAGGCTTATGGTGACTTGCGCCTTGCTTCAACCACTGATAAGAAGGCATCCGACTTAGCTGAATTCCCAAGTTGAAGTTGGCATAACGAGAACCGGAGTTATCGAAGCCAGGAATAAAGGATTGCAGAGGTTGTGGTTTAAGAAGATTGCATAGGTGATGTTTTGTAGGTATTCCCTCCGTCTCAAAATAAGTGTTGCTATGGTATTTGTGTCCGACAAATTTTCTTAAGTTTGTTCCCCTCAAAAAAAAAAAAATCTTAAGTTTGGTTGGATTTAGAGAAAATAGTAGTAACATCTGCATCTCCAAATAATTTTATTATAATAACATATTAGGGCCTCAACACGCACCGCTCCACAAGCATCGCACCACCACCCATGCTGCAACAAAAAGTTAGCTGTCTTATTTATGTTTGCGACAAATTATAATAATCCTTCCATGACACCTTGTTTATTTTACATGACTTCGGTTATAAATATGCTTGTGTCGCTTTCCTCTTACAACCATGCCACGACAAACCACACGCCAAGTCATCTCCAAATTCAACAAAATCAATCTGCAATCTGCATCACCTCTATAAGCTAATTCGGTGACTCAGGTGTGTTCAGTTGTCTCTCTTGCTCATATATATACTCGGTCAAATGTGCATGATGAAATTCCATCCACTGATGCCAAATCTTCTTCAATCTTATCCGTCGTATTATTGGCACTGAGTGACCTTGAGCAAACTCAAATTTATGGTTGGAGTCCCTTTTTTTAGCTTTTACGAAAGACATTGGTTGGAGTCCTTTCTTTTACTGCAATTGATCTTTCAGTATGATCACTGTGAACACGCCACTACACTGTAGAATTGATAAACGACGAACAGATGTCAAGAAAGGAACAACTAAATTGGAAGGAGCACACGAACTTTGTTCTACTTTAGAGAAACGGGATTGCTAAGCCAAACATTCCGTCGGGAGAACAAAAAGTTCAATTAATTTATGAAATCTTTGTGTTCCCAATAAGATCTTTATTTTAGAAAACAATATACTCTTTATTCTGTTATCTGTATAGGCATGCACTCAACTAGACATTGTTACAAATTACAAAATAGCCATAGGCTGTTTGGAAATGCCAACAAATAGTGAAAAATTGCTAAACATAGCAGCTGCTTCATAGAACTAAAGCAAAAGACAACCATTAAATGCCAAGTCTATTAGTAATCTTTATGTTGTGAAAAAACTAACAAAAATAGAATGACTAACCGCATGTTTGGATACTATGAGCTAATTGTTAGCTAGCTAATATTAGCTTAAATTAGCTCTAGTGCATTTAAACAGGAGGGCTAATAGGTGGTAAGTCTTCAACTAGTTGTTAGACAACTAGCTAGCCAACTATAGTTAGTTTAGGCTATTTTTTAGCCCAACTAGTAACTAGCTATGTGTATGAAACATGCCCTAAAAAACACCCCACTATTATTATAAAACACATAATGGTGTACTTAAATTGAAGCCATGAAATACCATAAAAATAGGATACGACGGAGGAAACTAGAGTGAACTACGGAAGCTTCACACAAGTTCCTTCACTGCTCATTCTTGGCATGTTAATCTAATTCAAGTAGAAAAGTTGTACTGCTCCCGATCATAAAGATATGACACTTTGACTAAAATCCAGTTAAACTTTGGAACTTGTGTAAAGATATGACCACATATAGCTCTCAAAATATTTAGTTTAGAGACATAAAAATCATATGAATAGATTTTTCTTGAACAACATTTTCGCATACATTTATTATACATTATAACTACATTTTGATAGAAAATTGTGGTCTAAATTACACCCCGAAGATGACACGGAGGAGTTTATAGTAATAAGTTGAGTGCCAACATAATAAGATAAAACATGGGGCCCTTAATCTTGTGGGCCCTGTGTTGTCAATCATCTTCACAAAGCTCGCTCGCATACCGCTCATATGTCGTATTCTTCCGTCACCAGACGATTATTTTTACTCGAATAGTGAAACTTTCTACTGATCTCCTTTGTCTCCTTCCATTTCTTTGTGCGCCTTTTTAAAGACCTTCTCAAATTAAAAGAGTCCAAGAGGTACCAAATTAAATCTTGGTACCTCAAGTACTATATTTTCTGTTGTCTAGGTATAATAGTACCTTCGGTAACCTCTTGAAGGACAGTAAAAGGACTCATTATTTTTATAAGGCACATACATTTCTTCAATGATTTAAAAATATGGAGGGCACGGGTGTAAATTTATTTATTTGCACCCTTTTGATTAGTCCGTATTTTTTTATATAAAGGAAGACTTTAGTGATTTTTTTTTCAAAAATAATACATCTAGTTGATACAAGTCTTAGAAAAAGCTCCCTTTGCCTGAGTAGCACATAGCATGTATTACGAAAGTGATCACATACACTCTAGCCACCATCAATCTGTAGACTAGACCACCGTCCATGTGCCACCACCTGCATGGCTGCATCAATTGTCGCAAGGCCACCATAACCAAATCCTATAAAACTGGCTTCTGAAGGATAGATCAAGTACGTAGTCAATAGATATGCAAATAAGAAATCATTGCTCTCACTAGCATTTCGTTTTTCATATTTCCATGCATGTAGTTAAGTAGGGATAGCAAAGTCACTCTGCCCTGCATTTTCTCTTGGTTTCATATTTTAAATAAAAGGAGTAGGATTTAATTTAATGAATCGACACATAGCTAGTTCAGTGAGAAACCATATTTTGCATTTCTGAAAAGTATAAAGCCAGACAAAAAACTAAATGATACGATTATTTTGCAAGTGACAGATGGAATGCACTGCACACATCTTTACTTTACTAATTAGCCCATAAAAACTTGCTCCAGCATGGTCTAGAATCTTATGTTATATAAGTGGTGAAAGTTAAGTGGATAAATTTAGTACATATAACTAACAAAATTGGTTACTTTTCCTCTCTTTGAATTTATTTTCTAACATAATACCCATTTAGATACTCTGTAATCTTTATTTGATTATGATTAATTTATCAATTACTATATATGTGTTTCATCATTGAATTGCACCTTTTTGGGTTTTTAACATGTATTTAGTTGAAACTTAGCTTAAGGTATATCAGCTCTTGTTGCATCACTTTTGTGACATCATGACCTGATATTTTGGCTTTCAAATTTTGATCTTATTAGTTGTTGTAAATTTTTTTCATCCACACGTTAAGTTCAAAATATAGTGCTTATTATATCTTTTATTCAAAATTTTCCATTTATTATATTTATTAAAAAGTAGATTCTAGGTCCTCGAGTCTACTTTTAGTTACTACAATAGCATAAACAGTTGTTTCCACAACACTCAATATGCTTGAATTTCCTCAATGAAAAAATTATATATATAGCAATATTGTTATATATTTATCACTTATGTATGCATGTATATTTGGTATACATAGTGACAATCTCATTTATGTTTACTTTGAATTTAATAGTAGTAGAATTGGATAATTTATAAACATATATAGTATATTTTTATGGTTTTTTATTCTTTTCTGTAATAGCTTATATTGGTAATTTAGACATAGATTTGAGGATATTATAGTTTATGTTCTATGACAACAGATGCAGGTAATTTAGACAAAAATTAAATGAGTTACTTTATATTATCTTTTATAATGACAGAGGTGAATAATTTAAAAGCAAATTTTGGTGTTACTTTGAATTATATTTCATAATGGCGAGGTTGGTAGTTAAGATGTAGATTCTGAGGGTTATTTATAATTTTTCATAATGGAAAAAGTGAGTAATTTTTTAGAAAACATGATAGATCAAATGGTTGCTATTCTCTAGATGATTTGAGTCAACCTAATTAATGGTTAGGAGTTTTTAGAGGATTAATGTGGAGTCTTCGTTGGGGGCTTCCAATTAATCATATTAAGATATATGTTGTCATGATTTGTATTGCACCCATGTGGGGTCTTCAATATGTATTTTATTAATACCAAAGCTTAAGTTATATCATCTCTTGTTGTATTCCTTTCTGTGACATCATAAATTTATATTTTGACTTTCAACTTTAATCTCATTAGTTATTGCACCTTTTTTTATCCATGTATTAAGTTGAAACTGTTTATTGTATATTTTATTCAAAATTTTCCTTTTCTATTTTATTAAAAACATATTTTAGGTCTTAAAGTACAATCTTAATTACTACAATAGCAAAATAGTCATTTTAGTCTACACCATGACACTCAAGATGTTGAATTCACTATATCAAAGAATTATATGTGTAGTATTATTATTTTATAAAAACATAGAGTAGTTAGATTTTATTACCAGTATTGACATTTCATATGTTTCAATCAAAATATATAAACTTATCTAAAATAACAACTTACAAAATTTATTTTCATGGAGTATTAATAATATAATTTAAAGTTAATTATCGAGTGCCATTGGTATGTGATTTGTTAAGGGAATTTTTTTAGATTGATATATTTGTCCTAATGTATGAATGTTTAGTTGGTCTACATAGTACTCCCTCTGTTCTAAATTGTCATTCATTTTGGCTTTTCTAGGTACATAGATTTTGCTATCTACTTAGTACTTATATCCTATGTCTAGATACCCAGTAAAAGTAATGTATTATGAAAAGCCAAAACGACTTACAATTTGAAATGGATGGAGTATCACATAACAATTATGCTTACTTTTGATCTAAGTGTGGTAGAAGTGTTTAATTTGGAAACATATATAGCGTGCTCTATGCTTATTGAGTTATTTTCATAATATCTTATATTGGTATTTACATAGATTGGAGGGATATTTTAGTTATTTTTTATGGTGGTAGATTTAGGCAATTTAGATACAATTAAAGGGGGTTACTTTATCTTATATATCTTACATAATGGTAGATACAGGTAATCAAAAAGAAAATTTAGAGGTTACCTTTCATTATCTTTAGTAATGATAGAGATGGGTAATTTATGTGCAAATCTAGGGAGTTATTTTTAAATTATCTTTTGTAATGACATAGTTGGGTATTTAGATGCAAATTGAGGAGTTTATTTTAAATTATCATTCATAATAGTAGAGGTAGGTAAATTAGATGCAAATTTAATGAGTTACTTTATGTATTTTACATAATAACATAGGTGGATTGTGTAGTTTTTTAGAAAAGAAAATAGATAAGCATCGGTCTCCTTTTATTTTTGTGGTTATGTGCCTCTTTGTTAGGCAGATCTCGGAAGTATATTTTTAAGGCTTTGTATCATCTTGATGTAATGCTTTGGGAATTTAATAAAAGCTTCCTTTATAAAAAAAAATGCCTGGTAAGAGAAAGCCATAAAGTGCCGTTAGAGCCTTAGAGGCCTCTAATCAGTAATACTAAGATTAGGATTAAGGTGTTATAAGATGAGATTCGTCGTGTATCTAAAATTAATTCTGCACTTGAAATAATGCAGCCGGTGCATGAAGAGAAGCTGAAGTACCAAAGCCGTGATCTCCAGAGACCGTGGGAGAGAGAAGAGTTGTCATCGTTCCTTCCTCCCATGCCGATGACGGCGTCCAACATCGGTGGCAGCAGGGGCGAGCCGTTGCGGTCCGCCTCAGCCATCGTCGCCAGCACCGAGAGCGGCCAGCACCTGCTGAAGATCGACGGCTACTCCCGCACAAAGGATGTCCCGACCGGCAGCCGCATCAATTCCCGATCGTTCCGCGTCGGAGGCCACAGCTGGCACATCCTCTACTACCCCAACGGTCTCAACTCGACTTGCTCCGACTACATATCCATTTTCCTTCAGCTCGACCACAATGTTCCCCAAGGCGTGAGAGCAAAATTCACGTTTAGCTTGCTTGACCATGGGGGGAAGCCGGTGCCACGCTACACCCTCGGTTCCGAGCATACCTTCCGTGACAACAGCTGGGGATTTCTGAGTTTCATCAAGAGGGACGGATTGGAGAAATCTGAGCATCTCAAGGACGACCGCTTCACGATCAGGTGTGATTTGACGGTCACGAAGGAGATTCAGACGATGGACATCGACACTGCCGCAATCCCACAACCACCTGTAGTGGTGGTGCCACCGTCGGACCTGCACCGTCACCTAGGCGGCCTCCTCGCGACCAGTGTGGGTGCGGACGTGACGTTCGAGGTGGACACCAGGACCTTCGCGGCGCACAGGTGTGTGCTCATGGCCCGATCACCGGTGTTCCACGCCGAGCTCTCCCTCTCCAGCCTGACGACGACCAACAACGGCGCAGCAGTCGCTGTACAGATCGAAGACATGGAGGCGCAGGGCTTCGAGGCTTTTCTCCACTACATGTACACCGACTCGTTGCCGGAGATGAAGGGGTCAGAAGCTGCGGCGATGATGCTCCCGGACCTGGTCGTAGCAGCGAATAGGTATAAAATGGAGAGGCTGAGGTTGGTTTGTGAAGACAAGCTATCCGAGTTTGTGAATGTGACAACCGTGGCGGTCTTCCTGGCGTTCGCCGTGGAGCAGCATTGCCTTGGGCTTAAGGAGGTGTGCCTCAAATTCCTCGAGGATCCAGCAAATCTCAGAGAGGTCATCAAGACCGACGGCCTCGAGCATCTGAGCAAGAGCTGCCCGTCTGTTTTAAAGGACATGATTACCAAGCTTGCTGCAGCCCTGTAGCCGTCTTCCTATCGTAGCGACGACGACTGTCTAGGCATGCATCTCATCCAATCAATTGCCATATATATATATATCCATGTCTCCCGATATACTATGTAAATAATAGTATATTATTAAATGGGTGATGTTATAAGGTAATAAATGGGTGATCTTATAAGGTAATAAAGCATTAATGTACATGTTTAGCGTTAAGCCAAATATTAACATTTGAATTAAACTTGACAAATTTCTACAAGTTATTAGTAACTTTTTGTCTCCATCTTATTAATTTCATGTTCTTTAGAGATTTACTTTCGACGGCCATGTGATAGCATATGATAGCTTTAGCCACTGCAGTGTCTACCGATGAGACTAAGGGTCCAATTTAGGAGTATATATGTCCTAACGGGCCGCCCAGGCCTGGCACGGCACTAGCACGGTGAGGCATGGCACTACGGGGCACGACGGCGCTATCGTGCGGTGCTGTGTTGTGTCACCGTGCCCAACCCTTGGCCCAGGTACGACACTACGGGGACTCAGCCGTGCCGTGCTGATGGGCACGACGGCCCGGCGGCCCAGCAGTCGCATCGTCGCGCCAAGCTCCTCTGCCCGTGGTGAGCACGCCGTGCCGCCACCATGCGCCAAGGCCGCCACACGCGAGGGAGCCGGCTCCCTGCTTAGAGGCCGCCGCGCGCCATGCGAGAGGGAGCCCCCAGCTCCCCACGGCGAGGCCATCACGCCGAGGCCGGGAGGGAGAGGGCTGAGAGGTTGTGGGAGGGAGGGAGGCACGGGAGGACATGCGGTGCCGCCATCGGGAGGGAGAGAGAGGGAGGCACGGCGGACGCGAGGTGCCGCGCTGGCCGCGGGAGACGAGACGGAAATGGGGAGGCACCGCACCGTCGGGAAGAGAGGAAGACGAGAAAAGAAAATGGGGAGAGAAGTGAGGGTTTCATGTTTATATAATATAATGAATCCAATGGCTTTAGTTTATTCGAGGACATCCAACGGCTGAAATCTAACGGGCCGCATTGTGCCGGCCCATTAACCGTGTCGTGCCCGTGCCAGCACTACGGGTCGGACCTGCGGCCCCGGCACGGCCCTAGATCGTGCCCGTGCCGGCACTGGCACTATGGACTCCGTGCCTGGGCCGTGCTAGTGTCGTGCTTTTTCGGACTAGGCCGTGTTCAAAGTTTATAGATTTTGAAATTTAAAATTTAGAATTCCTAAATGATCTCTAATATTCACATAGTTAATACCAAAGTTCTAGTGGCCGATCTGATCTACATGTTTGATATTGACAAGTTTTTGATTTAAAGTCATTGGAGTCTCAAATATGTGTTTGAAATTCACATGTTTTGAGACTCAATTTTTTGAATTTTTCAAACTATGTCTGATGGAGATACATCCTATACCAAAGTTGTAGTACTTGATAAGATTTAAAACTTTGTAGTTAAAAGTTTTTTCATTTGAGTTCATTTAGTAACTAAAATATCGTATATAAGATTACGAAATATTAATATAAAAAGATAGCATATTATATATAGGCATAAATTAGTGTGTGGTGTAGCAGTAGAGATGTGGTAGTGTTGAGCTCCAGGTTGTGGGTTGGATTCTCCAAAGTCACAAGTTTTTTAGGTTTTTGGGGTTTTTGGAGAACATTAATGGAGGCGGGCATGTTAAGATGCCCGCCTCGATTAATGCGACGGAGGCGAGCCACTTAAGACTCCCGCCTCCGTTAATAGATTAACCGAGACGGGCAAAGCAACCGCCTCTATTAATCCGCATTAACGGAGACCTTTGAATAGAGGCGGTTGCAATGCCCGTCTCCATTAATCAATCCTGTAGTAGTGTTATTTTATTTTTGTTCTAAGTCTTTGACTTTAACTAAGTTCATAAAAAAAAATAACATCTAAAGTATCAATGAAACAAGTAAATTATCAAAATATCTTTCATGATGTATCTAATGAATCTAGTTTGATATTGTGTATTTTACTATAATCTTGAGCAAAATTAAGAAAGTTGGCAACTCATCCTGGCACACACATCAAAACGATCGATAACATACAGTTGACATCCATTTAGATAGCCCATTTTGGTACACAAAGTGATATCCTTAAGGGCCTGTTTCAAATACAGTAATCATACAAAAATTTAGAGAAATCAGTTCAATTTCATGTGAAAATTGTAGGATTAAAAAAATCTCGCATTCTAAAACAGGCCTAAAATTCTAGTTTTTTGTTGTTGTTGAGTGGAACCTAAAAGGAAAAAGTCCTTTCGACCCCCTCAACTTTTGCGGTGGTCTAATTTACCTCCCTGATCTATAAAACCGATTGTTTACCCCCTTCAACTTTCAAAACTGTGTTGTTTTTGCACCCAGCCGGTTTTGGACGATAGTTTTGCTGACGTGATGCCATGTCAAAGGGAGGTAAATCGGACTAGTTAAAAGTTCACGGAGGTAAATCAGAATAGTTAAAAGTTCAGGAGGTAAATCGGACTAGTTAAAAGTTCAGGGAGGTAAATCGAACTAGAAGTATATATTTTTTTAAAAAAATATCCAAAAAATTAGTAAAAAAATTCAAAAAAATTATCCAAACATTTTTATATGAAAAATAATGCAATTAAAAATCATAAAATTTGGCTTACTCTTAGAAAATTCATAGAAATTTTGTTTTAGCTTGGAAAATTATGAAACTAGTTTTGATTTTTTTTAAATCATGCTCTATCTTATGTGCATAGCTTGAAATTGTTTGAATCTTGATGGATTCATTTTAGTGTTAGTAGAAACTTTTAAATAGTCCGATTTACCTCCCTCTACATGGCACCAAGTGAGCAAAACCACAATCAAAACCGCTAGGGTGCAAAAATAAACGGTTTTGAAAGTTGAAGGGGTCAAACAACCGGTTTTATAGATCAAGGAGGTAAATCGGGCCACCGCAAAAGTTGAGTGGGGTTAGGGATGAAAACGGATCGGATACGAACGGATATCACTGATATTATATTTGTTTTCACATTTCTAGTCAGATTCGGATTCGAATACGGATAGTATCAGCCATGCCGGATAGGATACGATTAAATGTCGACATCATAAATATGCGATTTGAGTATTCGGATACGGATACGGTATCGGATGTTGAATATCCGGACTCGAATACGGACAGATCTGAACCCCTCTAAACGGATTCAGACTCGAATACGGTCGAAAAATATCCGTACCATTTTCATCCCTGAGTGGGGTCAACTTTTTTCAACCTAAAATTCTACTCCAGCTATCTACGGCCCTGCGGATGTGGACTGGCTGCTAAAGGGCCAGCATGGGGAGTAGAGGAACCTCAAGCCCATCCGGCCCACCAACTAGGGCCTTTTACAAACATCACACCCCTCTTCCTCTTCGCCGGTGGGCACCATCACCACCACCATGGCCGCCGCCACCTCTGCAGCAGCAGTCGTCTCCTTGTCGCATCTGCATCCTCTTCTCCAACCCACCCCAACCCCACCTTCCTTCGTTTCCTTCCATGCGATCGCTTCAGATTTTGCTACCACCCTCTCCCTAGCCTGTCAGTGCCCTCCCGGCCGTCGTTCTTGGGGCTTGCCATGCTGGCGCGCCGTGTAGCCAACCATTTGAGTTCATTTTGCTAAAGTACCACAACGCGAAGGTGGACGCGGGATACGAGGACGTGGCGGTGAGGAGCTCTCTTGGGCGGTTCAATTGGCAGGTGTGTCCAGCAGGCGTCACGGAGGAGATCAAGCGGCGGGCGAGCACGAGGACTCCGGGACAAAGCAAAAAAAATTAAAGCGCAAGCGCGATCTTGCGCGTCAAGCGGCGGTACCGCCAGAGGTGCGTCCTCCATTTGCTCTCTATCGATCGCTCTTCCGATTAGTAAACTTGATCGACATGTTTTTTGCGCTATGTGCGGATAGTTGCTTGGATAGTTGCTCTGTGTTCCTTGTCTTCGAATTTGAAGTACTATAAATGACATGATTGCTGATTTATGGCCGTTTTGCTTAAGTATAGGCCAAATTGCAAGTGTTAGCGAGTGATTTGACCTACATGTGTGTGCGCAAGTTGTTGTACATTAAGATGCTATGTGATCATATATCTGACAACAATAGTAGTTTGATTGCCAAATTCGTCAGGCATTAGGATGCCAACCAGTCGATTACTAATAGTCATGATCCTGAAGGTGGTGGAACAGCTAGATTATGTCACTACAGATCTTTTCTGAATGGAAATAGCTGCACATGTGAAATGGTCCTATTTTTGTCTTTGTGTGTCTCTGGACAGTAGAAACGAAAACCTTTTGACTTTTCTATGTAGCCAAACAAATGGCAACTTACTGTTTTGAGATATAACTTTCCAATGTTTGGGTTAAATACTTTAGCCTCAGCAGGGCTCCCCCACACACACGCAAGTGGTTTAGTGAGGGTACTTTTTCTATCCACAACTCATATGGCGTTTTGGGCACCGACTTTCCTGATACTTTATTGAGAATATGAATGGTCGTTTTCAACGCCTCCATTCACAGCCTCAACTGTAAGGTGGAGTAACTTATCATACTGCCCACCATATCCATCAAGGTACGATTGATTCTTTTAGCTACTCTATTCTGCTAAGGTTCGCTTGGGTGTAGAATCTTTGGGCTACTATGCCATTCTTTTAGGGTATCTTGACCGTAGTACTCCTCCACAGTCGGACGATCTACCTATCTTAATCTTTAATATCTTAAATTTATCCAATACATCTTTTCTTTCTTTGATTGGATAAATATAGCCATAATGGGAGTAATCATCGTGAATGTTATGAGCGAATCATAACCATCCACACTCTTTACAGAAAGCGACCACAGATGTCGGTGTGAATAATCTGTAAAAATTCACCGTGCTTTATTTATCATCTTTCTTTACATACTTTCCTTTTATGCATTCTCTGCATTGAACTTAATCTGAGAGCTCTAATGGAGGAAGAATATCATTCTTAACTTGTCTTTCTATTCTTCCCCTCGAAATATGGCCTAAGCAGACAG